AAGGAATTGTGTTTTCTTTTCTTTTTTTTACATTTCCTATCTGATAAAGAAAAACTCTATCTCTGTCTCCCCCTCTCTCTTGCACACACACACACACACGCACTTATATATCCTCTTAGCAATAACTTTGCAAAAGATAATGTTTATGAAAGATTAGAATGTTTTTTTTTAATATTGTTATTGAAGGGATGTACCGGAAATAGATTGAATACAAATATTATATTATTGCCTTTTTTGGCAAGTAGATTAAGGTTAATTTGAGGTTGGGAAGAAGTTATTATTATTATTATTTTGTGTGGATTTAATGACAGATAAAGGAAGTCATTTAGTATTAGTAGTATTATTATTAGTAGTGTGGTATGTGCTACTTATTTCGACAGATATTAGTAGTATGTGTTACCAATCGAAATTGGAATGCCTGGCGGCAGAAGATTGAGAAAATCGAAAAGAAAAGAATGAGGAAAGTGGTTTATGTAGAAACAAAGGAATAACAAAGTCTGAGACGATTGATTGACATTTTGCAAATGATGTATTCATTGTATGATTCTTAGATTTTGCCGAGATATTCTATAATGTTGGATTAAAATGTATTTGATTGTCCCCCACTTGTGTTCTCGTTCATTACAGTAGTAGTATTCATAGTATAGTTCATGTTATGGTCTTCAAAAACACATATATCTTACTATAATCTACAAAGTTAATAAAGTATGAAAAACACATAGTAGTTATTCTCTATATGATGATAAGAATTTTTAAAAGGTCACAGTTTATTATTTTAAATATATTCATAATTTCACTGATTGAAATCATGAGTCACTTGAAGCTAGACCACCATGGAAAACCTGGAAACAGTGGATGGCCGTTTCGTCCTACCATGGGACTCCTCAGCAGTGCGCATCCACGATCCAGCACCCCGCGAGATTCGAACACAGAACCTATCAATCTCGCTCCAGGCGCTTAACCAACTAGACCACTGAGCCGACATCCAAACGTGTTAATGTCTAACTTCAACTAATGCACAAAGTTGCGCCACCGTACACCATTATCTTCAGTGAGTTGATTTCTCACAAAAGACCTGGTTGAACTAGACTGGTCACAGATTCTCACTAGAACTCCAGGAGTATCTCCTGAAGTTAGTCACTAGTGAGCAGGTGATTCATAATTATCACATTAATGTTAGAACGAGAATTACTGATAGGTGACAACTGGCTCAGTTTGACTGTAACTAAAGCGATGTACAAAATAATTAATTTTGTAACATAACATATTGATTCGAAGACAGTACTTTAGAAAAGATAAATAAATCAATCAGAGAGTGAATCAAAGATAACTAAATAATTCAAAAACTGAGGAAAAGGAATTTGTAAGTCTATGTTGTTTATATTCAGAAGTGTAAAAAACTAGTTTTTGTTATCATTAGTTCATCCAGTGAGGACTGCTTCAACATGGGATTGTTACAAGTTTTTGTATATTTGATACATCTCTTGTTTAATTCAAACAAGTTACTGGTTATCTGAACTCATTGGGTCGGTGGATAACGAGTGGGAGTGGTTGAAACGAGAGGTAATGTGTTCAAGTTCCAATGTAAACCTTAACAGTGTAGTGTAGGTACATACAGATGATGATTCTCAAATAGAATGAAACTAACATTCTGGATTCTACTGCTAGCCATCATCCATTTCTGCTTAAAATCTTTGTGACTTAGTGCCGATAACTAGTCGATCCTCACAGAATGCCCATATACCAATTGAAATATTTAAATAACCACTACAAATGAATCACATTTTAATTGTTGCACCAGTTTTTTATAAATTTAAGAAATAACTAATCTCTTCCAATGTCAGTTTAATAGTAGATGGATCAATAAACTTTCACTGATGCTCGAGTATATGATCTTCATATGAAACTGTAATTGCATACTGCCGAATATTACTAAAACGGAATGGAAATATTTGTTCAGTATTCCTTGATTTTCTATAGTTCTACAGCCGGTATCATTTTGTTGTTGTTGATGAAATCTATCTAATATTTATGTATATATGTTCAAAAGAAGATCATATCGTGATAACAATTAAAACAATGACATATAGATATGGTTCAACATTTCATTTAGTCAAATCATTATTTCCATACGATTAAAGTCTACAAATTACGAGTACAGTTAATGGTTTCATATGTAAGTGTTATTCTTCACGGATTAGCATCATTTGTGGTACCACTAAAAATTAGGAAACAATAAAGAGCAGTTTCATTTTAGCGTGAGACTCCTCAACAGTACTACAAATCAAAAACATGACCTGCATGTATCCTATCGAGAGTTTAATCAATAAACTAATGGGTTGAAATTTAATGGTATCCAGCTTCAGCTCAGTTGTTCACACGTAAGACATTCACCTTGAGGTGTGAATAGGGAGTTTCGGATCTACAATGGGATCTTTAGTTCAAATTTTAGATGAATTAGCTAACTAATGTAATAAGGTTTTTAGTGTTATCATAACTAGGGTCACTGCTTGATGATTATAATCTACATATTAGATGAATCTCCATAACGTCACAATATGAAGGGGTGAAGGACAGGAGGAACGATTTATGGATTTTTGAGGATTAAGGTTCTCGATATTTAAAATAAAAAAAATACTAACTGGGGAATTATAAGCAACGATGGATAGTGGCTAGCAGTGGAATCCATGATGCACGTTTCGTCCTATTTGGGACTCGTCAGATGGATGAACCTGAATTTCAAAGATTTAGGTTCACTCTAGACTCGAACTCAGTAACGTTCGCTTCAAACGCCATCACGTTATCCACTTAGCTACTGAGTTCTACTGGCCACTAGCCTGTGCAATGGGATGAAGTTCAAATTCATTTTGAATTGTTTGTTTGAATCTTCATGGATTCCATTCCTAACCACCATCTATATTTGCTCAGAATGTTTGTGACTTAATGCAATATCGAGGCAATCCGCACAATATGCACCTATACCAATAAGAGACTGTTCAATTGCAATCCTAAACATCAATGGAAAGATTCAAGTAAACAATATCAAGTGAATTTAATTAGAGAATTATTCGACGACAAGCTAAAAATATTCTTTCACTCCACTATTAACCGCCAATCTTAAATCCTAATGCTAAAATATTTTTTTTGTTGGGGGGGGGTTCTATGTAACAAACTATTCATTTTTACCTGACATATTCTGACAATTGGCTTTACTTCCTCATAGTGATTTTAGAAATCATTGAAGATTTACAGCATCCTATGTTCACTTTATAAGTTACTTCATGTCAACAATGATTTACTTTTAACAGTATTAGATGTTAACAGTTAGTTTAGTTTACGGAAACCACTGTCATATTTAATATACGGAAAGATAATTGATAATCTATTCTGTCATAAAAAAGAAAATGAGAACACATTGTTATTGTGATTTGTAAACTTCATATTAGACATTTACTTTGTATTGACAACAGAATAAGATGACAACAATGAAAGATTTTAAGTTTTACTTAGTCTTTAGATAGTTATATCTGCCTGTCATAAATACATTGAATACGTTTTTGTGTGCTTTTTGATTAGATTTCCGATAGTAGGACTGGGTAGCTAAGTGAATACTGTAATTGCATTTAAAGCAAACGGTACTAAGTTTGAGTCTTAGAGTAAATATCAACTCTGTGGTGCAGGTACATCCGGCTGACGAGTCCACAAAAAGAAGACGAAACGCGCATCCTCAATTCCACTGCTAGTCATTATCCATTTTTGTTTATAATTATTTCCGATATTTGTTGGAGAAACATTTTCTCTATTTATTATTATATAAATATAATGGATTTTAATAAAATGAATGTTGAATTTAAATTTCAACCGCTGAAGCCTAGGGTAGATATCACTAAGCCAGGGTATATGCAATCCAGCATGAAGCCAGGTGCATGCTTCATTATGTATTTTTGGTTCACCTACGGAAACCTTGTTACGACTTTTACTTCCTCTAAATAGTCAAATTAGGTCATCTTCTCAGCATCCGTCGAGTGACAAAGCCACTACAACGATATCAATCCAACGACCTCACTAAATCATTCAATCGGTAATAGCCGTTCTTAGTTGGTGGAGAGATTTGTCCGGTTAATTTCGATAACGAACGAGACTTAAACCTCCTAAATAGTAGACTGATCCTCTGTGCTCGTTTAGCGCGTGGATTCTATTACTTCTTTATGAAGTAGTGTGGTCGTGATCCGAAAGGTGCGGTGCCAGTTTTTACAATGACGGTACCAGCGAGTCTGGAAACCTGGACCGAAAGGGTTGGGTTAACTGTTTCATCACGGTCGTGATTGAGATCGGGGTTTGCAATTATTCCCCATGAACAAGGAATTCCTAGTAAGTGCAAGTCATTAGCTTGCACTGATTACTTCCCTGTCCTTTGTACACATGATCGAATTTAAATTTGGTTTCTACAAATTAATTACAAAAAATAAGAAATTTCGAAATTAAATCAGTTTGTCATTGGACTGTTTAGATTGAAAAAGGTATCATAAACATCATAGTTACTTGGTAAAATAGAAAAACCATACTATAATACTTAATTTGCAAAATGTTCAATAATTGTTTCGAACTTCATTGTTCTTGCATTTCCATACTAATTGCTATCTATTCCTGTTCTTCCTTTCTTGATCTTCACCATCTTTTGCTGCCAGATATTACATTCCTGACTCGCGTCATATACTACTTATATCAATATAAGTAGCACGCATCACACTATAAGCTTGCAGGTAACGTTAATAAAAAATATTCATATAGTTATCTAGTATAACTTAAAATGAATTAAAACAATTGAATTCATGAGTCGATCTAAGCTAGATTACCATTCAAAACCTAGAAACACTGAATAGTTGTTTAATCCTAGTGTAGAACTCCTCGGAAGTGCATATCCACGATCCTGAATGTAGGACTCGAACTCAGGACATGACATACTAAATAACACTTTATATATTTGCTGTAATTTTCAGATATTCAAATGAATTTGGTAATACAACAAGACGAAGAAATGCTACAAAAGAAAGTACAACAACATTAAAAGCTTGGTTACAAGAACATATTAAAAATCCTTATCCAACTAAAGGTGAAAAAATTATGTTAGCTATTATAACAAAAATGACATTAACACAAGTTTCTACATGGTTTGCAAATGCAAGAAGACGTTTAAAAAAAGAAAATAAAATGACATGGACACCAAAACATAGAAATGAAGAACAAAATGATGATAACGATGATGATGATGATGATAATGATGATGACGATGATGATGATGATGATAATGATAATGATGAAGAGGTGAACAATAGAAACAACAGTGTAGGTAATAATAAAGGACAACATAATGAAAGATCTAAATTAACAAATAATGAAAGTATTTATGATGATCATGATATTGACGAAGATGATGAAATAACTGGATTTGATCATGATGATAATGATGATGACGATGAGGATATATCATTAAATCAATCAAGAAATCATTCTATATTAAAAGATTCTCTAAATCATAATGATTATCAAAATTATTTATTAAATCAAAATGGGAAAATTAATAAATTCCCAATAAAATCTTCTTATAATAAAAATCAATTCCATATAAATAATGAATTAATCTATAAAAAGAAACATGAACAATTGAATAATTCAATATTCAATCCACCACCATCTTCATCGTCATCATCATCATCTTCTTCTTCTGAAACAACATTCATGAATCCAATTCAACCAAATATGAATGTATCGTTTGATGTATTCATGAATGATCAATATGATAAAATGAATTGTACATTGAATTCATTGAATTCATTCCATAAACACCATGATATACTGCAACACCACCACCACCAACAACCACCACTACCACCACCACCACCACCACCACAACAACAACAACAGCATAATCATGAATATAATAAATTACAATTACCAACATCGTCATCATCATCATCATTATCACAATTGAATTATTCTATTGAAAATCATTTAAATGAATTTCGTAATAAAATTGATAAGAATAATTCTATTGGATTGTATTCAACTGAAACGAAATTAGTCAATTTATCTGAATCTAATATACCAAGTAAGTTTAGTGGAAATATTTTTATTTCATTGAATAGTTTTTTGGATTGATTAAGGCTAGACATTAACATTATTGATTGCTGGCTGGTTCAATGGTCTAGAGGTTAAGTGTTCACTTGTAAAACTGAAGGCTCTGGGTTTGAATCCCGCAAGTCCCATATTAGAACGAAACGACCACCTAGTGTTTCTAGGTTTTCTAATGGTAATCTAACATCAATTGGTTCATGATTTCAATCAGAATAGTAACCTGTTGAAATTAAATGCTATAGGGATTAAATTATTCATTATCAGATTGTAGTGGCGAGACTCTAATTTATGGACGAGCCAATCAGAAGTGTTCTAGAGATTTCAAGGTTACGGCGCCAACATCAGTGCTTAATGCTAACGTACGATCGGTTCACAGGGAATTTTGTACAAAACGTGATAATTGAGCGGCTATAACAAATAGAATGCCGAGACTATAACTTGTGGACGAATCAATCAGGCATAAGATAATAGATCTCGAACTTCGACGCGAAAGCCTTTCATCCATTTGGCTACATAAATTTCAGGCATTAAAGCTGATGTCCGTTCGTGATGAAAACCCCATATATAATTCCTAACTAAAGCAAAGTACGACAATTATTGTGAACTGGATGATAAAAGCACCAGCAACATTGGATGCAGCCAGGTACTACAATATATACGGATGTTTGGAGAGCGTACAGACTCCTACATAGGCTTGGTTATGTGCATCGTGTCGTTATCCACAAGTAGCATTTTGTGCACTCAACAACCGGAGTGCATATAAACAATATTGAAGCTATGTGGTTGAGGCTGAAAGAATTTACGAGAGTTTATCATGGCTCCAGAGGCCGACTATTCTGTAGCCGTATGGATGATTTCCTCTACTGCATGCATTAAGATTTTACAACCTCTGAAGCTCTTTCTAACCTTGACAAGTCTTTGAACCACGTATAAGAAGTGTATCCACTTTATTTCCTTGGTTTTGTATAACATATTTTGACTCTATACTGACTGTTTGCTGATTGGCTTATATTTCTCAAGGTCACGTAAGATTCGTTCAAAGGTCGTCCATAAATTAGAGTCTTGCCGTAGAAGGTTAAGAAGATCGAAGAAAAGAGAACAAGACTAGGGAATGTTTGGTGTGGAAACAAAGAAACAATAAAGTCTAAGACAATTGATGGATATTTTGCAAATGAAGTATTTATTGTATGGTTCTTAGATTTTACTAAGAGATTCTGTAATTTTGTGTTCAAATACTTTTGGTTATCCCTATTAGTGTTCTTGTTCACTTCAAGATGATATTACATGAATGTCATGATGTATTTAAAAATAATTAACTGAGGTTGGAAAATATGAACTCTTGAATGTAAACTTAGTATTCTATTGTCTAAAAACTTGGCACATTACTTGAAATTTCTGAATCCGAACACTGTTGGCGGTTTAGATACTTAACACTATAAATTTTCAATACTAAAACAAAACACTAGTCCAATGTTCCCTATTTCTCCATAAGGCCTCTACGGATATTCATTTTTGAGAAATATCATCTGGATTTAAGTCATTAACAATTAGAAATATGTATTTGAAGGTAATATTCATAACGAACTGATGTCAAGTGAATAATCGTTAAAGTTTAGAGGAACACCGAATAGATAATTTGTTTTAGTTTAGGATTGTCGAGCAATGTATACCCATTATTGCATTAAATATTGAAGTCAGGAGATTCAGCTTTCAAGGAAGACTAATATTGTGACATAATCCAGTCGTTTACATCTACAGTTCTAGTCAGTTTGTGAAGTAACAGAAGACAAAACCTTTGTGAATATGGAAATAAAAAGAATTTTAAATCCAACTTGTAAAATTTTCATTTGTCAATTAACGAAAATCATTTCAATGGTTGAATTCATGAGTAAATTAAAGTTAGAATATCATAGAAACCTGGAAGCACTGGATGGTCGTCTCGTCCTAGTACGGAAATCTTCAGCAGTGCATATTTATTATCCGACCTTGCGAAATTCGAACCCAGGACCTATCGGTCTTGCGCTCGAACGCTAACCTCTGAATTATTAAGCTGGCAACTAACCTTGGTGATGTTTAACTTTAATTAATCCACGAAAATCATTTTACTGAACTCAACAAACTTTGGTTAATACGAATGATCATAGGAAAAAAATTTCATCCAATATACAACTAATTATCAATTTTCCATTGATAATTTTTGATAGATTAATTGGCATTTTTAACTGTTTTTGTACTGGGAAAATTTAGACAAATACTGTTCCTTAGTTTTAACCATAAACTGATTTTAGTTAAACATCTAATAAAAACCTAAAGGCATGGGATCAATATTCAGTCCTCGTATGAAACTCTACTATTACATTTTCATTTAAGAATAATTTCTTATTATTTAAATCACGTACCTGAATCTAGAATATTCTATGATGGAAATGACTTACTTACTTATTTACGCCTGTTACTTTTCGTGAAGGAGTATAGGCCACTAACCAGCATTCTCCATCCAACACTGTCCCAAACAATCCTTTCCTGCCCCTTCCAGTTATTATTCATCCTTTTCATATCTGCTCCTATTTCCCGACGTAATGTGTTCCTTGGCCTTCCCGTTTTCCGCTTCCCTTCAGGATTCCATGTTAGGGCTTGTCTCGTGATGCACTTTGATGATTTGCGTAATGTATGTTCTATCCATTACCATCGTCTTTTCCTAATTCCCTCTTCACTTGGGGGCTGGTTTGTTCTCTCCCAGAGAAGGCTGTTACTAATGGTATCCAGTCAATGAATGTTGAGTATCTTGCGTAGACAACTATTTATAAATACTTGTACCTTCTTAATGGTGGTTGTAATAGTTCTCCACGTTTCGGCTCCGTACAGTAGAACTGCCTTGACGTTGGTATTGAAGATTGTGACTTTGATATTGACTGACAGACTGTTGTTTTGAGTTCCATATATTCTTTAATTGTAGGAATGCTGTCCTTGATTTGCCAATCCTCGCCTTTATGTCCTCATCTGATCCTCCGCCAGTAGCTCTTCCAGAGTTACTGCCGATCCCAAGCCCGAGTAAAGGAGGAGGGTTGGGTATGGGTTTAGTGACCCCATCTCATAGAAAACTAACTCGCTAAAAAACACTAATCTAAAAAAATAATACAAATTAATTTCTATAAAAAAGACATATAATGAGTAGAGTATAAGTAATATATGTTGATTTTCTTTTTCACAGATTGGACAGATATGATACCAACATCATTATCTATGAATAAATATGATTCAATACCATTTGGACAACAATCATATCAGAATATTTCATTTCCATATTATATACAAGAAAATTTACATGTTTCACCTTATATTCATGGATTTGATACATCAACAAATAAAGTATATTCATCATTTAATCCAATATCATCCACTACGAATATTATAAATTCAAATAAAACAAACTTAAAGTCGAATCATTTATCAGAAGATATTTCATTGTTATCATCCTCCTCCTCATCATCATCATCAACATTATCATCTTCATCACCGTCAACATGTTCACCATTATCATCATCTTTAATCACTTCAACAACTACAACATCAACAATACCAACTACAATCAATTCAATGTATACAAATTTTCCAAATACAATGCATTTATTAACGTCGAAATCATTTCCCCTTAACAACAATAATTCACAATTAATGAATCATATCAATACTGTTAATAATCATGATAGATTATCATTTACTAATTTATTCAATCATAAAGAATTATTTTCATCTAGAATGAATTGTACTAATGATCACTATGAACAAATTACATCATCACATTTATTAACTTCAAATGATTTATTAACAGGTACATTAAATAAAATTAATCATTTTCATTATGGAACTAATATGGACTCAATTACAGATGATAATAATAATAATCAACAAAGATTACCATTTATTTCAGAGGTCAATAATCAAAATAGTACAACATCAATTACCATAGCATCTACTATGACATTGTCAACAATCAATTCATTATGGTCATCACAATTAAAACAGTTAACACGTTTAGACGAAGGTCGATTAGATATGAGTTCAGATCAGATAGTAAGTTGTAGTGGTGATGGTGGTGTTATTCCATTTCAACAGTTCATTAATTCTTCATTATCAATACCATTTACTACAACTGATAATAATAATAATTATACTACAATTAATAATGGTTTCAATAATATTTCATCCAAATTACAACCGAATGAAACTATTATTACTACTACTACCACCACCACTGCTACTACTACTATTAGTACTACTACTACTACGACCACTACTGATAATCATATTAGTAATATTTCAAGTCGACATTTTACTCAAGATGATATACAAACATTATCATCTACACTATGGTCAAATGAACGATTAAATAATAATACTTATAATACAGAATTAAATCATAATACATTTTATCAACCAATCTATAATTCAATGCATACTATGCCTACAAGATAAATATTAATAAAGAGTATAACTTATTAATACCTCTATTAATATCCACTCATTACTACTACTACTACTACTACTACTACTACTACTACTACTACTACTACTACTATTACTACTACTACTGCCACCACCACCACCACTACTACTAATAGTAGTAATAATAATAATAACAATCGTGATATAACCATAGTACCATGTAGACAAAAACAAAACAAAACATGATACACTAATCAATAAATTGTCAATTTTCCTACTAAGTAACAATTGTAACTGCACATTGTACTGTTATTTTTTTCTTTCAGTTCTCTTATTTTCTTTTTCTTCTTTTTCTTCTTCGTCTTCTTTCAAATGTATCTTTATTTTATTCCATTTTTTTATTTGTTTAGTTTTATTGAGTCTGTTGTTTGTTTGTAATCAATCAATAACCAATAAAGTTTATTTAATCAATAAAAATGAATATTGATTATTATTATTATTATTATTATTATTATTATTATTATTACTAATGATAATTTATTTCTTGTACATAAAGTATTTTAACAATGGTTATCAGAAATGAAATAATAAAATAATTTCCAGATAAAATGATTGATTTTCTGATTTGTGTTTTAGATTGAAAGTAAAAAGAGAGGAATCATTTATTGATGATTTGATAGGTTTTGGATTCGAATCTCATGAGATAGGATCGTGGATATTCACTGCTGAGAAGTTCCATAATAGGATGAAACGACCATTCAATACTTCCAGGTTTTTCATGATGGTCTAGGTTGGACTATCGAAATTACTATAATATCCACAAAACTCTGATAGGATATATAGTTGAATAGGTTCAATATAAAGGTTATGTTACTTATTTACTTACTTACGCCTATTACGCCTTGTCGAGGAGTATAGATTGCCTACCAGCATTCTCCATCCAACTCAGTCCTTGACAATCCTTTCCAGTTGTTTCCAGTTTCTAGACATCCTTTTCATATCTCCTTCCAATTGTCGATGTAGTATGCTCTTTGGCCTTCCACTTTTCTGTTTTCTTTCAGGATTCCAAGTTAGCACTTGCCTCACGATGCAGTTTGATGATTTCCGTAATGTATATATTATCTACTTCCAACGTAATCTGTGAATATTTTAATGAATATTAGGCATTTATATTGGTTTGTTGCTGAAAACATTTAGTTAAGTAATGTGCATTTATCCCAGTTCACTCCATGCAAGGAGCTTCTCCTTTTGATAATCAGTTTTGTATCATTGATTCATCTATCTGTGTCCACGATTAAATATATTGTTCCTTCTACCGTAATCATCTTGTTCTGTGTTTCTTTTGAGTATGAAATTAAGAAAATCATGATGTTATCACTGTTCGATTCCACTGTATTAATAAGTCTTAACAACAAAAATGTATTTATGATATCATTTATGCCCTCTCCAAGACTCACGTTTATACTGTCTCGAATCATGATTATGAACTAGTATGTCTTATATACAGTTAATTTTTGACAACAATGAATTATGTTAGGATATTGATGATTATAGTACAGCCTAAATGGTCAGTTTTCTAGTGACTTCATTGTATTTATGAGTAAATGATTCATTGGAAGAACTTTCAGAATTCCTATAGATGTCAGGTTTGATGTTGATGGACATAAAAAATTAATTTAGTAAACTCTCTTAATTAACAAATAAAGGAACACTTCAAACAGGCTGAATTTTTAAAGGATTTACTGGTTTTTGACTTCATAGATAATCTTGAATAATAGTTACTATGGCGGAATGTGATTAAAGTTGATTATGAATTCATGGAATGAGTTGTAACTGACTTGGATTCTCCTTCAGATAATCATAGGAAGTATTGTTTCGAACATGTGTCTGGTTCATGTACACTTTGTAGGACCAATAAGATTGATAAATCCATAATGAAGTTATTTAAAGCAGCAGTTCACCTTTTACACTTTCTCAAATGACGTACTTACTAAAGAAAATATTTCAGTCTTTTGAATAGAAGGTCTTTCTCAGATAACTTGATCTTTTATACTTCAGTATTTCTGCTACAATTATCTCCTTTAAACTCAATGTTCATGAGTAAAATTTCATTCAGAACTGTGTGCTGGGGGGGAGGGTACACTGTATTTTATAGAAGAGATATTAACCGATATTAACTGAGAATTTTATCAATTACGGAAATAATGCACTAATAAACAGGTTTGAATTATTTTTTCTGGTAAGCGTTTTTTTAGCGAGTTAGTTTTCTACGGGATGGGGACGTTAACCCCATGCCCAACCCTCCTCCTTTACCCGGGGTTGGGACCGGCAGTAACTCTAAAAGAGCTACAGGCGGAGTTTGCTAAACAGGGGAGGTACTTTATAATCTTAGAATGCTGAGAGTTTTCATTATGGAATTATCGATTGGAACTGAGTATCTACTTTTAAACACTAAGACTTAATATCAAGAACGACCATCGAACCTTTTTCAACTAAGTAACATTTATTGCTCAACCTTTATCCACTGTCTACAGTGAATAACTATCTCTTACCCGACGTGGTTGAACTTTGCCGGTCATAGCTTCTCATTAGAGCTCTCACAAGTTGAGTCTTGAGGTTGGTCACTAGTAAGGACATGATTATTATTAACAAAGGGAGATTTGTAGAGATTGTGTAATTTCCAAAGTTTAAATCATGAACTAGCACTGAAAAGCTGTAAACAATCGACAAGGGTTGAGTAATATCAAGAATTTATTGAAAAATAGACATGTACAATATTAGATGCCGGATCCGTGGTCTGGAGATCAAGCGTTTGATATGGAGACCAAAGATCTTTGGCCTGATTTCTCATGGCGGAGTCGTGGATATGAACTTCTGAGGACTCGCACACTAAGGTGAAGTAGTCATCTAATGTTTCTTGGTTTTAACTGAGGGTATAGCTAAAATCAGTTCATGATTTAACCTATGAAAATTATACATCCTCCACAAATCACTCTATCTTAAAACACATTACATGAAAAGCTTTAATGATAATGTACCAAACACATAGTCAAACACGCATCGTAGACTGATATAAATGTATGTTATTTTTAAGAATATAGATATAAATTCAAATGTATTTTTTTATTAACCATGTATATAACATTACCGACTAGTTATGGATATGATTCAAAAGATTGACATTCACTCCAAGATGATTAAAAGAACTTGTAGTTGTATATGTGGTAGTATTAAGTAAGAATGATGAATTTCAGCTTTGATTTAATTAAGGCATAACTTCCTGACTGACAGTATTTTATGTATATCCAAAGCTGATTCAATAATAATTTGTTCTCACTAAAGTAGTACAGATGACTGGCTGATAAAATATTTTTTTGGACCAAAATAACTTGTAAACAAGTTGTGCTATGATAGTAACGTCTTGTATTGTGAAGCTAGATGACAAGAGACTAAATCCTCTAGAGAGCAGCTGTTCCCTTTTTATTAAACGTCTACCCCAATGATGAGTGAGAAATAACACGAAACTTAGGTCCAGAGTTTCCTATCTACCACATCTGACAACAACCTTGCATTTCAACATAAGTCACGCTATTTAAAGTCATTTGGACTGGTCGGTACATTAAAACATGATTAATAGAATCCGGTCAATATTAATTGACTAAACAAATGACACTGAATACTGCATACTGATCAGTTAATTATAAATAACCTTTATTTAACTGAAATTCTCACTATGAAGAGAGTTTCAACTTCAGTCATTTTATCTGGAAAATCAATAAAGTGAATAGATAATAATCAATAACTTGAAGTCCTCTAGAAAGACTCAAACAAAAGTATTCGAACATGAATAAGATTTTGACTTGGCATTAAACAACAAGAATGAGTCTTAGTTACGTGTATAAGAAAAGTATATAGTTCTGAGTTTTACTCACATCTTTGTACATTATAATCGTTTATTTAAAGTTAGTTACAAAATGTCTATAATTTGAACACTTGAATATTCTTGCACAACTCTGAGAAGTCAAACTAATTTTTTCTCAATATAGGGTTGTAAAGATTATTAAGTTTTTGGTTGAGATCGTGAATCGATTGGTGTTAGACCACCATTGAAAACCTGAAAGCACTGGACGGCCGTTTCATCCCAATGTGTGACTCCTCAGTAACCGGTTCAGTGGTCTAGTGGTTAAGCGATTGTGCGCGAGACTGATAGGTGTTGGGTTCAAATCCCGCGAGCGGGTCGTGTATGCGCACTGCTGAGAAGTCCCATACTAGGACAAAACGGCCGTCCAGTGCTTCCAGGTTTTTAATGGTAGTCAAACATCAATTGGTTCATGATCTCAATCAGTTTTTTCCTCTCAGAAAATGAGAGATAAATGTTTCATTTACAAAGCTATAATAAGAACTGTAAATGAGGTCTTTCTACTGCTCTCGTTCCATATACTTTCTTCCCTTTACTTATTCATATTGTCTAACTGGGATGCTAATGTTGACAAACTAAATGAAGACAGTAAATCGTGACATATCACGAAGAAATATATAACCGATTAACGAATAGTTTTTTAGAATTCTCAAATAATACTGATTACTCGCTAAACAGGTTAATGACTATCTAAACTCAGTAATTCACATTTGGGCGATTAAAGTGAAAAGTGCTGAGCTTGAGTTTCAATATGAATATCAATAATGCAATGTAGGTACTTACAGTTGATAAGTTTGGAACTGGACAAAACCAACTTTCAGGATTCCACAGTTACCCAGATACAAATATACTGAAACATCACTTTATAATGAAACCTATCCGTAAATCATATTCAGGAAAAAAACAACCAGACATAGAAATGTTCAAATGGGCAAATAAGAATGTAGAATAACTTATCTGATATGTATTTTATTGAATCGTCTTTTTGTATAAAGTACTTTATTCATTACAAAGTTATACAATATAGAAATAATGATCGATTGTTTCTTGTATGTAATTTTAATAATTGAATTCATGAGTCGATCTAAGCTAGATCACCATTGAAAACCTGGGAGCACTAGACGACCGTTTCGTCCTACTGTATAGAGTTGTAGTTCAATCTTAAAATATTCAATTTAATATTGTCACAATTTTATTAATGTCTACCTATTTCAGATTATTTTTCTAGTTAGCGACCAGTATAGCAGCAGCCTCAGTAACAGTAAGTCACAACATACACCAAAGGAAAAGCAAGATTCTCCGATACAACATAGTATACACCAATCAAATCACACTTAACGGAGAAGCTTTGAACGATGTAAAAACCTTTACATAACTAAGCAGTATCATTGATGAACACAGTGGATTTGATGCAGATATGAAGGCGCGAATCAACAAAGCAAGAGCAGCATATCTACAATTGAAGAACATCTGCAACTCAAAACAACTAACAACCAACACTTAAGTCAGAATTTTAAATACAAATGTCTAGATAGTCCCACCATATGGAGCGGAAACCTGGAGAACTCCGAAAGCCATCACCCACAAGATACAAGTGTTTATTAACAGTTTTCTGTGCAAAATACTTCCGATCCGTTAGCCAGACACTGTCAGCAACAAATTAGAATCCAGCGGAGGAAGAAATCATGAAGAAGCTCCTCGTAAGTGCGCATCCACAATCCCGCACGTGGAACTCAAACCCATGACCTTTGGTCTTGCATGCGAACACTTTACTCCTAGACCGCTGAGTCAGCATCCAAACTTAGTAATGTCTAAGTTAAATCAACACATGATCATGTGCAACACTTCATCCATTGTCTGTAATGAATAACTGAACTCCACTAATCACGACTTCTTACTAAAACCCCAGGAAACCTATCTTCAAGCCAATCATTAATGAACACATGATGATTATTATCAAAAATGAAGATTTATGAATATTATAGTAATCTTACATGTAATTCAATTACAAAAAAACACACACAACTAATTGATTATTACGTGAAATGAATTTTGTATTTTAACCCCTTGATATTCTCTAGACTATCACAAATCTTATTCATATTCTACAAGGAATTTTGTCAATTAAAATCCCTTCTTAAAAAAATTAAAAGTTTGTTAATATTAAGACGGAAATGCGGTGATATGACAATTCACTTCCTTATTGACCATAATGAATCATTATCGACTACTATAAAGTAATCATAATTAGTTATGAATTATACAAATTGTTTTCAAGGAGGGCCATATATATATATATATGGAGAGAGAGGGGGGAGGGAGAGAGAGAGGAGGGAGAGAGTCTATAATAGAAACTAATAGAACAAAAATAAAAGAAAAAGAATGTTAAGAAAAGTTATTCATTAGTTTATGTCATCTATTCATTGTAGAGAAAGAGAGAAGAAAAACAAACTGGAAAACTTATTTCAATTAATTTTTAACTAATTTTTCTTTTTTTTGTGTGTTTTAATTTTAAAAATTCTGTTGAAAGTTTTACTGATTTCCTGTACATTATTAGATAGAATCAAACTTCATGTCACTCACTCACTCACTCACTCATTCACTCACTCACCCACTGCACTGCACTTCACTTAAACACACACAGAGAGAGAGAGAGCGAGAGAGAGAGAGGAAGGGAGGGGGGTAAACATACGCATCGATAGATACTTGCGTTTTAATGAATCCTGGAATTATTGTTGTTATATCACTAAATAATTTCGATCGGATTCAATCACTTTGTCACGCTAATTTTGATTTTCAAGTGGAATATATATATATATATATATATATATATGTATATTTCTCTATTCTGTTTTCTTTTTGTTACTTTATTTATCTATCTATCTATCTATCCATTGTGCATCTTTCTCTACTTTATAGTTTTATTTTCCGGGTTTCCTTTTTTTATGTTGTTTTCTATCCAAATTTAGTATTGTGTACCTAAAGATGGTTTTCATTTGATTCTTTTTTTTTTCAAAAAAAAAATACCATTTTGATTATGTTAGTTCTTTGTATTGCCGAATAGAATAAATAGATAAGCATATAAGAAGAATGTACATTCACATGTAAGCACATACATACATACATACACACATACACACACACATAGAGAGAGAGAAAGGGGGGGAGAGTGAGAGACTCACATGTACCTTTTCTTGTAACAACGACAATTGAAAATAACAATAAGCGACCAAAAATATACTCAACCATCTATAAGTTCTTTTTTTTTTAGATTTATTTCCGTTATAATTTTTTTTTGGTTTTTTCTTTACAGGAAATTCATTTGAATCACTTATTTACTTTTATTCTCATTCTTTCTATATTTCTCTCTTTCTTTCTTTCTTTTTTTCCTTCTTTCTGTTTTTCTTCATGAGTTTGATCTATTTCATAAAAGTCTACCTAGTAGAATATAATATTCCTTGTATTGTTGTCTATATACTAGATGAATGAATTAGTTTAGTCTATAGATATACAAGTATAAGTTGGAAGGAAATTCGAAAATCATAAACTTTAAACGCTATTGATAAAAGCAGTAACAATAACGGTAACATCACAACAAAAATAACTTCTATTACAACATTGAGAAAGAATGATAAGGATGATGATGATGATAATCATAATCATAATGAAGAGAATGCTAGAAAGGGGGGTACTTAGTAATAAAAGTATAATGAAATAAAATGTTTATGTTCAATTCAAAATAGAATTAAGTATGATCAATTTGTATTACATAATTAATCAATTAGTAGTATATTAGATTTTAATTGAAATTTGAATATATGATATTGCACGAAATCTAAAGTTCATTACTTCACTTTATTGATTATTATGATAAATAAATGAATAAAAGTATTCAGAATTAACAAAATAGATTAAGTATTCACTTGGTATTGTTTTATTTGTATCTTCCCATTGATGTTTAGGACTGAAATTGATCAGTCTTTTATTGGCATATATGCATCTTGCACGGACTGCCTCGATATTGCCTGAAGTCGCAAGCTTTATAAGGAAAGATCGATAGTGGTTAATAGTAGAATCCAGGATGAATGTTTTGTCCTATTCGGGACTCATCAACTGGATGTATCTGCGTCTCAGAGTTGATATTTACTCTGGGATTCGAACTCAGTACTGTTTGCTTCAAAAGCCATCTCGTTATCTACTTAGTTACTCAGTCCTACTAATCACCTGCTTGTACAATGGGGTGAAGTTATATTTATCAATTCTGAGATGCAGGTACATTCAATTGACGAGTCCCGAATAGGATGAAAAGTGTGTCCTAAATTCCACTGATAGCCACTATCTATCCATTGCAATCCTAAATATCAATGGCAAAATTCAAGTAAACAATACCAAGTGAATTTGTATAATGAATGTTTTGATTATTGAAAATTAACTGTTTGTTTAATTATATAAACATAGTTCATTTTGATAATTAACATGTTTTGACTAAATAATTCAATGTTGAATAACAAGCGGAAATCTGGTGATTCAATAGGTTAATGAAATTTTAACAACGATTTCGTGAATTTAGTTTACTTAAAGTAGGCATTTGTATTAAGGCTTAAAATTCTTAAACAGTATTTAATATAAAGACATTTATCAGAAGGGGTTTGTGGAGATTTTTAGAAAGTTCCACAGATTGAAATCATGAGTCAGTTGAAGCTAAACCACCATTGAAAACCGTCCAGTGCTTCCATGTTTTCAACGGTGGTTTAGCTCCAACTGACTCATGATTTCAAACTGTGAAATTTTCTAAAATCTCCACAAACCCCTTCTGATAATAATCATCTGCTCACTAGTGACTGACTTCAAGAGATACTCCTGGAGTTCTAGTGGGAAGCCGTTACCAGTGGAGTACAACCAGGTCTGTTGTGAGATATCAGCTCACTGAAGACAATGGTATATGGTGGTGCAACTTCGTGGATTGGTTGAAGTTAGACATTAACACCGTTGGATGCCGGCCAGCTTAGTGGTCTAATGGTTAAGTGCTCGTGCACGAAGCCAGTAGGTCCTGGGTTCGAGCCCCGCGTGGTGCGGGGTCGTGGATGCTCATTGCCGAGGAGTCCCATACTAGGACGAAACGGCCGTCCAGTGCTTCCAGGTTTTCAATGGTGGTCTAGCTTCAACTGACTCATGATTTCAATCTGTGAAAATAAAGACATTTGTATTTACGTGGTTAAGTGATTATGTGGTTGTTATGAAAAGAGAACTACATGTGTTTTGAATTCAAGATTGCCAGTATATACCTTAAAGAAGTGAGTCTTAAACTAAGACGGTGGTTTAACTTGGTAGTCAGGATACCTTGAACCTAATTTTTTTTTAGCTAGTTAAGTCTTTTCAGCAAGGTAAACTTACAGCCATGAAGTAAATGATTCTTCCAAGTCGATGCGAATTCAGATCGTTCAATGTCACAATCCTAGGCATTATCACTGGCTTACGTGAGATGTACTTTAGTGACTTCATTTTCAATGGTTCTGAAGATGATATCGGTCGACTTCTACATATGTTTTTATTTGAATATAAACATGAATTCGGTGTGTTGTTTTATCAGTTAAGCCACTCAAATTAGTTACTAAAATGGACTCAATTCTACTGTGAATATAATTAATTTACTGATGTAGCTACCTTAAATGTTGTAATACTTATAATCCTGTATTTCTAATATGTAAATATATTGAAAAGAAGGTTATTTGGTTAATCGGAATGCTGACTTGAACTGAACCATATGGTTGAGACACATGTTAAGCTTTTTTTGATGTGCGAAAACACAAGAATTATCACAATTGATTGATCACTGAATGGTGATCAATATCATGTTTGTCTAGTCCTTATTAGTGCAGATCGAATGCTATCGATCATGTTGCAATGTGGTCACCAGTCTAGGTGACTCGACACTGTGGGCACTATGTATTGAGATTAGATGGTGGTTGGAGGTAGTCAACAGGAAACCCTGGACCCGGGTTTCGTGCTACTTGGAACTCGTCAGCAAGGTGTACCTGTAATCTTGAGGGAACTGGTGCTCCCTGGCGGTGGCCACATTGCAACATGATCGATAGCATTCGATCTGCATTAATATAGACTAGACAAGCATGACATCGATCACCACCCAGTGATCAATCAATTGTGATTACATCTCAGTCCTAAAGGAGGTCAGTCGCGGCTCGGATAGCTCAGTGGTAATGTCCCTGACTGTGAAGCTGGGTGACACGAGATCGAATCCGCCAGGGAGCACCGGTTCCCTCAAGATTACAGGTACATCTTGCTGACGAGTGCCAAGTAGCACGAAACCCGGGTCCAGGGTTTCCTGTTGACTACCTCCAACCACCAACTAATCTCAACAAAAGAATTATCCTATACATCAACAGTTCATAAAGTTAGACCACTAACATTATTAGTGGAGATGATTGTTGGTCACGCAGTATCATGAGTTGTCTGTAGTTAGAAATATAGACGACTGTTCTAAACGTTGACCTCAGGTACTTGGTCTGATTCATGATTGGGCCGTTGATGCGCAGGCATAGTTAATAGTTATAGTATAATTTTGATCTCCAGGTACATTCAAACGACAAGTTTCAAGAGGGAAAAAAACTCTCTGAATTCCATTGATAGATACTGTCTAAATATAGATCCTGAATAAAATATTGACGAAATTTTCAAACCATAGTAAGTACAAAGTTTCATGCTTTTCTCTTTGAAACAAATAGAATCGATTAAAACTTCTCGATTAATAATGCATTAGTTAAGTAGACAAGCCTTTTCCTAATTTATTATTAATAGTTTGATTGGATATTGTGTCAGATTGCATTGATAAACTGGTTAGTAATCAACTTATATTCAATTTCACTGATTGAAATCATGAGTCAATTGAAGCTAGACCACCATGGAAAACCTGGAAGCACTAGATGAACGTTTCGTCCTAGTATGGAACTCCTCAGCAGTGCGCATCCACGATCCCTCACCCCGTGAGATTCGAACCCAGGACCTATCAGTCTCGTGCCAGGCGCTCAACCAACTAGACCATTGAGCTGGACGGCATCCAATGGTGTTAATGTCTAACTTCAACGAGTCCACGAAGTTGCACCACTGTACACCATTGTCTTCAGTGAGTTGATAACTCAAAACAGACCTGGTTGGACTCCACTGGTAACGTGGATGCACACTGCTGAGGAGTCCCACACTAGGACGAAACGGTCATCCAGTTCTTCCAGGTTTTCCATGGTGGTCTAGCTTCAACTGACTCATGATTTCAATCAGTGAAATTTCTAAAATCTCCACAAACCGCTTCTGATTATATTCAATTGTTCATTCAGTTTTTGATTTGTCATACTGAATCATGTTAATGAAACAAAATTTCGTTTACCGATTAGTTGATTTTCCGTCATGAATTCAATTCTATTTTAATCATTTGATTATTATAACCATTCGTTTTTCTGTTATTATAAGTGAACGTACTTCTTAGTTTATAAGAGTAGAATAATTATACCTGATAATAAGTACTGAGATAGAATACATTCAATTTTTGTTACCTATTATATATAAGGGGAATTAAATTCAGAAAGTATTCATCAGGATATTTCTTAAAAAAAACCCAATCAGATAGGAAGTTAGCTTTCATCTTTAACACACTGATAGATAAGTTGTCAGGAAGAAGAAGAAGAAGAAATAACTCGAAGATTATCAGCTTCAAAAGCTGTATTTACTTACTTATTTTTATGGAGTTTTGTTCTCTGAGAATCATCCACCTGAGCTAAAGTCTCCACTTACTTACTTACTTACTTACTTACTTACTTACTTACTTACTTACTTACTTACTTACTTACTTACTTACTTACTTACTTACTTACTTACTTACTTACTTACTTACTTACTTACTTACTTACTTACTTACTTACTTACTTACTTACTTACTTACTTACTTACTTACTTACTTACTTACTTACTTACTTACTTACTTACTTACTTACTTACTTACTTACTTACTTACTTACTTACTTACTTACTTACTTACTTACTTACTTACTTACTTACTTACTTACTTACTTACTTACTTACTTACTTACTTACTTACTTACTTACTTACTTACTTACTTACTTACTTACTTACTTACTTACTTACTTACTTACTTACTTACTTACTTACTTACTTACTTACTTACTTACTTACTTACTTACTTACTTACTTACTTACTTACTTACTTACTTACTTACTTACTTACTTACTTACTTACTTACTTACTTACTTACTTACTTACTTACTTACTTACTTACTTACTTACTTACTTACTTACTTACTTACTTACTTACTTACTTACTTACTTACTTACTTACTTACTTACTTACTTACTTACTTACTTACTTACTTACTTACTTACTTACTTACTTACTTACTTACTTACTTACTTACTTACTTACTTACTTACTTACTTACTTACTTACTTACTTACTTACTTACTTACTTACTTACTTACTTACTTACTTACTTACTTACTTACTTACTTACTTACTTACTTACTTACTTACTTACTTACTTACTTACTTACTTACTTACTTACTTACTTACTTACTTACTTACTTACTTACTTACTTACTTACTTACTTACTTACTTACGCTTGTTACAGCAAATGGAGCATAGGTCGAAAAGTTTTATTTAGAAACGTCAATATTAATTTTTCGGAGTATATCATCTATAGTTTAATTTTTAGATCCATGGTTTTTTAAAAAACAAACAGAATTTCCTTTGAATATGGATGATCACATTTCATAGTTGTATCTTTAGTCTCTAGATATGGTTTGAAATTCTTAGTTTATATCCACTCTTCATCAGAACTAGTTACTGTTATTGTTTATCATCTGAAGTAGATTTGTTCAACAAATATTTTTATGATTATGGAATGTCAAATTGTAGTGAACGAAAATACCAAATGAGGACAACCGAATGTATTTGAATACAAATGAGTAAAATCTGATGACTATACAGTAAATATTTCATTTTGTAAATTATCAATCAACCTATCTCAGACTTCATTCCACACTAATCATTCTGTGTTATTGTTCTCTTTTCTTTGATCTTTTTAATCTTCTACCACATTAGATATTTCACTTTCAATTGATGGATGATATATACTACTTATATTTGTCGACATTAGTAGCACACACCATATCATAATCAATCAATCAATCCTATCGATTTCTTTCTTTAATCTCTCTTTTTCTTTCTTGCATCTAATATTGTGTTTTTTAAAGCTTTTTCTTTAAAAAATAATTTTATCCTTATTTTTACATTTAATTGACACATGTCCGTCATATAATTAGGCAATGATCAGTGTACATTTTGGTTTCTAAGATAACAACACAACTATTATATATATAGACTTAAAAGGGGGGATATTACATTTAACCGCTATACAATGTAATTATCTTTTATGTGTATAAATTTCATTTTATAGAAGTTTCCAGAAGGAAATCAACACATTACTATTATTATTATTAGTAGTAGTAGTATTGTTATGGTAATTTCCTGTTATATTTAAAGTTTATATAAAAAGGGTAATGTACAATTATCATTGAAATATGAATATGAATAAAATAAAAAAAGTTTTATATTTGAAACGAATATTTGATAGAATAGACAATAAAGTCTATTTTGATGGAGTTTTGTTCTCTAAGCTGGATGGTTTAGTCGTGGAGCTTTCATCGTTCTTCTGAACGACATTATCAGCACAAACTTCAGATCTTCACAACTGATTGATCACTGGGTGGTGATCAATGCCATGCTTGTCTAGTCCTTATTAGTGCAGATCGAATGCTATCAATCATGTTGCAATGTGGCCACCAGTCTAGGTGACTCGACACTGAGGGCACTATGTATTGAGATTTAGATGGTGGTTGGAGGTAGTCAACAGGAAACCGTGGACCCGGGTTTCGTGCTCATCATCATCCAGTGATCAATCAATTATAATTACATCTCAGTCCTACAGGAGGTTAGTCACGGCTCGGATAGCTCAGTGGTAACGTCTCTGACTGTGAATCTGGGTGACACGAGATCGAATCCGCCAGGGAGCACCAGTTCCCTCAAGATTACGGGCACACCTTGCTGACGAGAGCCAAGTAGCACGAAACCCGGGTCCAGGGTTTCCTGTTGACTACCTCCAACCACCATCTAAACTTCAGATCTTCTCCACAATAAAGTCTGTTCTATGATAAAAATCATTGTAACCATTATAAAGTAGACAAAATCTATATTTGATAAATAAAGAAGGAATGAATCAAGTGAAGAAATTTTTTTTAAAAATTCGTTTTTCATCATACCTTTACACTAATAAATATCGCTATGATTTACAATAATGAAATAATACTCATTGAGTAGATACGTTACGTAATAATTAATAAAATAACATATTGATTATAAATAAACATTGAGTATAGTTGAAATCATGAGTCAATTGAAGCCAGACCACTATGGAAAACTAAGAGAACTACTATAACCACCATTAAGAAGGTACAAGTATTTATAAATAGTTGTCTAAGCAAGATACTCAACATCCATTAACCGGATACCATCAGCAACAGCTTTCTGTGGGAGAGAACAAACCAGCTTCCAGCTGAAGAGGAAATTAGGAAAAGACGATGGAAATGGATAGAACATACATTACGCAAGTCATCAAACTGCATCACGAAGCAAGCCCTAACTTGAAATCCTGAAGGGAAGCGGAAAACGGGAAGGCCAAAGAACACATTAGGTCGGGAAATAGAAGCAGATATGAAAAGGATGAATAACAACTGGAAGGGGCAGGAAAGGATTGCTTAGGACAGTGTTGGATGGAGTCTGCGGGTGATTGGCCTATGCTCCTTCACAAGGAGTAACAGGCGTAAGTAAGTAACAGGGTTTTCAACATCAATTGTATAATATTGTAACAAATTTCTGTTAAACAGATATTTAAAGTCTAACAATTTAAAAGCTCATTTTGATAAATGATTTCTTCTAGTCCGTATCTGATGGCTATCTTCAATCACGAAAGTTTCCTATCAATTTAACTGTTAAAACTATTTTCTTATCCATTAGAATAAATGATATCCGAAATTCAGTATATTCCTTTTTTTGTTTTTCTTTTATTCTCAAAAAATAGATGTGGAAGAAAATTGGTCAATACTTGCAGTGTTTTTGCTTGTATTTTCCAGTATTCAGTATCAAAGTCATTTGTATTCTTTTTAAAATAGCTCATGAAAAATTCATAATTATTCAGTTTAGAAAACCTGGAAGCACTGGACGGCCAACTCGTCCTGTCGCGAGACTCTTCAGAAGTGAGCATCCATGACCCCACTCGCGGGAATCAAAATCATGGCGTTCGGCTTCGCGCACGAATGCTTAACCTCTGGACCACTGAGCCAGTCAATGTTTAACCTCAACCAATCCACAAAATTGCGCGACCATCTTCCATTTTACGGAGGTAGATACCTGTCTCTACCCGACATTGATTAACTCCACTGGTCACGGCTTCTCACTAGAACTCCGAGAATTCCCTCACGAAACTAATCACTAGTGAGCACATGGTAGTAATCAGTACAGGGTTGTGAGGGCCCTGGGTTCGAAGCCCGTGAGCAGGATCGTGGATGCGCGCTGCTGAGGAGTCCTATATCGATCGGTTCATGATCTTAATCAAAAACCTAATAATCTCCACAACCCTATATTGATAAGAAAGTTATTTGATGTTGACTGGAGTCATAAATAGACAGGTTATTGATAATATAGCTTGAAAAAGCATCTAGAAATTTCATCAACTTAAAATATGCTTACAGTGATGCATCTAGATTCCATTCAAAACAGCAAATACACTGTACCATATTTACTATAAACAGAAATTAGGAAAAATATATAATGACTGTTTATCAGAAGAACGATTACTGATACAACTTCATCAAAAAATACTTATTGAACTCATTAGCAACCAAGAAGTCGGAAATGGAAACCAAAATCTTGATTGTCGTACTGTAGTGAACAGAACACGGGTGGATACAATCGAATGTATTTAACACAAAATTACAGAACTTGTTAATAAAATCTAACAATCATAAAGTAAATGCTTAATTTGCGAAATGTCCACCAATTGTCTCAAAATGACTCAGACTTCATTGTTCTTGCATTTTCATACAAATCACATTCTGTTTCCATTCTTTACTGTTCGATCCTCTTGTCTCTCTGCTGTCAGACATTCTGTTCACGACTAACATCATATACTACTTATGTCAATATAAGTAGCACACATCACAGTATCATATATAATCACTATATCGGAAACCAAATTCATATAATTGAAATCATTAGGAATAGTTCTGGCGCACACGATAGTAAGGTCACTTCAGTCGATTTTATACAAAACGACAGACCTAATGGTTAAAAGAAGAAAATTTGAATGTTATCCACTAAATAAACTGCTTCAACAAAGAAAGACATTACTTTGGACAAAGTAGCCGCATCTTCGTTTGTATGAACATCATTTAGTTGTCTAAATCCACGAAATATCTTAGCTCATGTCATTTCATACAGACAATTGTGGACACATATCTGACAGATAAAACATCAAAATTTTACTAGCGATATAATGAAGATCAGAGAATTTCCAGAAGCTTGACACTTTGGTCAGTCATCAATCAGTAAACAAATAAAAATAAAACTGATTTATCTAACATTTGGCAAAATCATAACTATAATTCCAAGTATCAGATCAGTAACAAGGACAAAAAACATTTGTGGATAGTGATAGAATAAGTGTTGAAAACAGCTAATAAAATTTACTATTAATAGAAGAAGCTGTTAGGCACTCATGGAGAAGTCCATCTAACTCACTTCTATCTGAAATTTGTACTGATATTGTTATTAAGAAAAAATAATAAAAACTTCGCAATTAAATCATCCAGCTCAGAGAACAAAACTATACCAAACGTGAATACTTAATTCTAACAATCCATCTATTGTAAAAGTTTCAGGTTCGAACCCTATCTCAGTTGTGTTAGTTTCAGTAGCCCGATAATACCACTTTCTGTCAAACTTAAAGTGTAACCTAAAATTAAGTACATTTGTACTAGTTAAACAAGTTATAATATTCATTATTATGTATTACCTCTACCTAACTTGAAGTTATCAGAAGATAGTCAATATCATACAGAGTTCATATGATGGGTTAAACTGCAAAATCGTGCATCGAGGACAGTTGACAAACTTGTTTGAAGTAAAGATCAATGTCAGGCAACGTTGCTTACTCTCACCCTTTCTCTTCCTCCTGGTGATCGACTGGATCATGAAGACGTCAACATCTGAAGGGAAGCATGGGATACAGTGGAAACCTAGGATACAGTTGGACGATCTAGACCTCAAAGATGATCTGGCTCTTCTATCCCAAACGCAACAACAAAAGCAGGAGAAGACGAACAGTGTGGCAGCAGCCTCAGCAGCAGTAGGTCTCAATATACACAAAGAGAAAAGCAAGATTCTCCGATACAACACAGCATGCAACAATCCAATCACACTTGACGGAGAAGATTTGGAAGATGTAAAAACCTTTACATATTTGGGCAGCATCATTGATGAACAGGATGGATCTGATTCAGATGTGATGGCACAGATCGGCAATATAAAAGCAACATATTTACAACTGAAGAACATCTGCAACTCAAAACAACTAACACCAACACCAAGGTCGTGATTTTCAAAACAAATGTCAATACAGTTCTACTGTATGGGGCGGAAACCTTGAGAAGTAAGAAAGCCATCATCCACAAGATACAAGTATTTATTAACGGTTGTCTGTGCAAAATACTTCGGATTTGTTGACCAGACACTGTCAGCAACAACCTACTATTGGAGAGAACAAATCAGATCTCAGTGGAAGAAAAATCAGGAAGAAGTTCTGGTAGTGGATAGGACACATATTGAGGAAAGCATCCAACTGTATCACATAGCAAGCCCTCACATGGAATTCTGAAGACCAAAGGACAAATTACCCCGATAAATAGAGACAGACATGAGAAGAATGAACAACAGTTGGATGAACTAGAAAGGAAGGCTCAGGACAGAGTGGGTTGGAGAATGCTGATCGGCAGCCTATGTTCCATTGGGAGTAACAGGCGTAAGTAAGTAAGTAATTGAAGTTATATACTCTACGTTTATACCAATATATGTTCCCTAGAACTTTAAACCAGAGCCAACAGTCATTCAGACACTAATCACTTTAGTCAGTCTACTAGCATATTTTTATGTTTGAAATTCAGAGAGATATAAATTTAAATTTAATAGCAATGCAACAACAAATACATAATCTTTAAACTAAATAGAATTTTCTATTGAATCCTATTAAACATTTGGGTAGCATATCTATACAATACTTGTTCAACGATACGATTATAATAAAAATAAAAATAATAATAATAATAATGATGATCTGGATGATGATGATGATGATGATGATGATCTGGATGATGATGATGATGATGATGATCTGGATGATGATGATGATGATGATGATCTGGATGATGATGATGATGATGATCTGGATGATGATGATGATGATGATGATGATGATGATGATGATGATGATGATGATGATGATGATGATGATGATGATGATGATGATGATGATGATGATGATGATGATGATGATGATGATGATGATGATGATGATGATGATGATGATGATGATGATGATGATGATGATGATGATGATGATGATGATGATGATGATGATGATGATGATGATGATGATGATGATGATGATGATGATGATGATGATGATGATGATGATGATGATGATGATGATGATGATGATGATGATGATGATGATGATGATGATGATGATGATGATGATGATGATGATGATGATGATGATGATGATGATGATGATGATGATGATGATGATGATGATGATGATGATGATGATGATGATGATGATGATGATGATGATGATGATGATGATGATGATGATGATGATGATGATGATGATGATGATGATGATGATGATGATGATGATGATGATGATGATGATGATGATGATGATGATGATGATGATGATGATGATGATGATGATGATGATGATGATGATGATGATGATGATGATGATGATGATGATGATGATGATGATGATGATGATGATGATGATGATGATGATGATGATGATGATGATGATGATGATGATGATGATGATGATGATGATGATGATGATGATGATGATGATGATGATGATGATGATGATGATGATGATGATGATGATGATGATGATGATGATGATGATGATGATGATGATGATGATGATGATGATGATGATGATGATGATGATGATGATGATGATGATGATGATGATGATGATGATGATGATGATGATGATGATGATGATGATGATGATGATGATGATGATGATGATGATGATGATGATGATGATGATGATGATGATGATGATGATGATGATGATGATGATGATGATGATGATGATGATGATGATGATGATGATGATGATGATGATGATGATGATGATGATGATGATGATGATGATGATGATGATGATGATGATGATGATGATGATGATGATGATGATGATGATGATGATGATGATGATGATGATGATGATGATGATGATGATGATGATGATGATGATGATGATGATGATGATGATGATGATGATGATGATGATGATGATGATGATGATGATGATGATGATGATGATGATGATGATGATGATGATGATGATGATGATGATGATGATGATGATGATGATGATGATGATGATGATGATGATGATGATGATGATGATGATGATGATGATGATGATGATGATGATGATGATGATGATGATGATGATGATGATGATGATGATGATGATGATGATGATGATGATGATGATGATGATGATGATGATGATGATGATGATGATGATGATGATGATGATGATGATGATGATGATGATGATGATGATGATGATGATGATGATGATGATGATGATGATGATGATGATGATGATGATGATGATGATGATGATGATGATGATGATGATGATGATGATGATGATGATGATGATGATGATGATGATGATGATGATGATGATGATGATGATGATGATGATGATGATGATGATGATGATGATGATGATGATGATGATGATGATGATGATGATGATGATGATGATGATGATGATGATGATGATGATGATGATGATGATGATGATGATGATGATGATGATGATGATGATGATGATGATGATGATGATGATGATGATGATGATGATGATGATGATGATGATGATGATGATGATGATGATGATGATGATGATGATGATGATGATGATGATGATGATGATGATGATGATGATGATGATGATGATGATGATGATGATGATGATGATGATGATGATGATGATGATGATGATGATGATGATGATGATGATGATGATGATGATGATGATGATGATGATGATGATGATGATGATGATGATGATGATGATGATGATGATGATGATGATGATGATGATGATGATGATGATGATGATGATGATGATGATGATGATGATGATGATGATGATGATGATGATGATGATGATGATGATGATGATGATGATGATGATGATGATGATGATGATGATGATGATGATGATGATGATGATGATGATGATGATGATGATGATGATGATGATGATGATGATGATGATGATGATGATGATGATGATGATGATGATGATGATGATGATGATGATGATGATGATGATGATGATGATGATGATGATGATGATGATGATGATGATGATGATGATGATGATGATGATGATGATGATGATGATGATGATGATGATGATGATGATGATGATGATGATGATGATGATGATGATGATGATGATGATGATGATGATGATGATGATGATGATGATGATGATGATGATGATGATGATGATGATGATGATGATGATGATGATGATGATGATGATGATGATGATGATGATGATGATGATGATGATGATGATGATGATGATGATGATGATGATGATGATGATGATGATGATGATGATGATGATGATGATGATGATGATGATGATGATGATGATGATGATGATGATGATGATGATGATGATGATGATGATGATGATGATGATGATGATGATGATGATGATGATGATGATGATGATGATGATGATGATGATGATGATGATGATGATGATGATGATGATGATGATGATGATGATGATGATGATGATGATGATGATGATGATGATGATGATGATGATGATGATGATGATGATGATGATGATGATGATGATGATGATGATGATGATGATGATGATGATGATGATGATGATGATGATGATGATGATGATGATGATGATGATGATGATGATGATGATGATGATGATGATGATGATGATGATGATGATGATGATGATGATGATGATGATGATGATGATTAGATCTATGGTGAAATATTGTCCTAATTTAAACTGGTTAGCTTCATCATTCTCCAGTTTTGATGTTAATTTGTATCCTGTCACATACAATTTAACATAATTCTTTAACTAGTTGATTGATATAATTCCTGAAAATAATTTCCAAATTGATTAAATGTCTAGTATTGAATTGAATGATTAAAACACACGTTTATTACATCAGCACGAAATATTAGTCTGTTACACGTTTCTTTAGCTTCTATTTACTGTAATGACCTTTACAAAACTTACAAATTTTCTATGGCAATAATATTTCCTGTTTGACCCATAAAGGTTTATTTTTTTTTTAAGGAGAAAGGTTACCTGACTATTGTCTTTATTTGTATTATTATTATTATTATTATTATTATCCCTATTCTAAGGGAATAATAGGTGAGGGGACAGGAGGAACCAAACAGAACTAAAGATGAAGTAAGCAACAAGGGAGTTAGTAGACATGAATAGAAAAGAACTAGACGAAATAACATTTAGACTAAAAGTTTCAACCAACCAATCAGTTACACACACACACTGATACACACATACATAGGTCTATGAGTAAGTAAATGAATTCAACTATATAGTTATAGCCTCCAGGATGATTTGCTTTTTATTCCAAAGGTAGGAAATAATGCTGGTGTGCTACCATGTTATTATTATTATTATTACTATTAATACCGGTTTAGCTTAGTAGCAATAAAAGTATATAAGTTGAAGCAATAATGTATTTGTTTTCAGTGTAAAAGGGAGTTAACTAGTGTGAGCAGTTAAAAATCTTAAACGGAAATTACAAGCATACCCACAAAATCTAATGTGGGTCTATAGTGTATGTATGTGTAGGTACATCAGTGATTAACATACATTCTATATACACATATATACTTGATATAATCATTATCGACAATATGTATATATATGATTCGGCCCCAATTTTCAAGCCAAACTTATTTCCGATTCAGACTAACGGAATTATTTGTGAAGAAAATATTTCTAAAAATGAACACATACACACACACACACTTACTCACACAGATGAGCGCACCAACTTATATGAATTATAAATTAACTGTCATTTATGGAACCCGGAACTAATGCTAAATACAAGACGAAGAATTTAGACAGTGGGCGACGTCTACATAGAACAAAACGCTTAGATTCCATATTCTCGATAAGTTAGTCTTAGTCTTGTTGTATGCGTGTTTTTTTTTCAAGAAGTTTAGAATTTAGGAAAATCTATTCTATGATTATCTTTAAAATTTATAAATGAACTGAGTGAAATATCATAGAATTCAAGTATTATACATGAATTAGAAATGAAAACCTTTATTCATTATTGAAATAGAACATTATATTGACTCATGATTTCAAACTGTGAAATTTCTAAAATTCTCCACAAAACCTATTCTGATAATAATAATCAACTGCTTACTAGTGACTGACTTCAGGAAAAACTCCCGAAGTTCTAGTGAGAAGCCGTTACCAGTGAAGTTCAACCAGGTCTGTTGTGAGATAACAACTCACTGAAGACAGTGGTGTACGGTGGCGCAACTTCGTGGATTGGTTGAAGTTAGACATTAACACCGTTGAATGCCGGCTCAGTAGTCTAGTGGTTAAGTGCTCGCGCGCGAAGCCGGTAGGTCCTGGGTTCGAGCCCCGCGTGGTGCGGGATCGTGGATGCGCACTGCTGAGGAGTCACGCAGTAGGACGAAACGGCCGTCCAGTGCTTCCAGGTTTTCAATGGTGGTCTAGCTTCAACTGACTCATGATTTCAAACTGTGAAATTTCTAAAATTCTCCACAAAACCTATTCTGATAAGAACATATATTGAAGAAATATTCACTATTTATTTTAATAAAACCTTTGACATTGAATTTCTATCATACGAAACAATGAAGTAGCTAGTAAATGTAACTTGTATGAACTTCGTGGAATATTATCATTGTGTTAAAGAGATCTAGAAAACTCCTTGAAAAAAGAAAGCCAAGAAACTCTCTGGAAACTCCGAGAGACATCTTATCCAATCAACATTCAATAGACGTCTTGCAAGAAACATTTAAAAAAAGAAGAGTCACGTGCTGCGCTCCTGATGTCATGGTAACCTATACTGCTATCATGTGTTTAGTAGCGTTCCAGAATTTTCCGGAAACCGAAGACTATCTAAAATGCTAGAAATATCTTACATTTTCTGTACATCAACGAACCTTTGAAATACAGTGTCTCTTCTATATTTCGCGACTTTTCTCTTGTGTTCAATTCGTTGTGTAGATAAAGCCTGATTGTTACTAGAATAGGTTAAGAACTGAATCTAGCATTCAAGTAGAGAACTTATCACATTGATGAAAATAAAAATCAGACCAATAAATGAAAATTAATGGGAAGTATGTTGAAAGGGGATAAGATTTATGTACTATGTGATGGTCGGTATTCAATATAAATTTTAAACTTCGTATATAGTTCGTCCTGATAATGGTCACTAGATAACGCTCCAATGGTGTATTAATGAGAAGGCCAATATGAAGTGTTGATTACGTTTACTATTGCACTACCCACATATAATCAAAATTACAGGAACGTTAAACAAGCATGAAAGAGTAGTGCCGAAAAGCAAGCGGGTGAGCGTACTTTTAAATAACATAAATGATTGTATGACTGTGGTGTTTGAATGAACTAATGATACCTTTGTACTTGTTGAATGCTTGATTTCGAATTCTAAATACAATACATTCGTTTGTGGTCATCTAGTAGTACTTCTTGATTCGATTACGTTATTTCTAGGGTTCTTAATTCATACTATAATTCAAATACTCGTTATTACCACAATGACATTGCCAGTGATTTTGGAATGATTATACAAAATTTATTGAATACAACATTTTCTGGAAAGTAATTGTAGTTAATACGAAGCATTTAATGTTACTGAAGACAATACATAAGAGAATAATAATAATAAGAGATATAAAATGTTCTTTTGGAAACTGAATTTCTATCAGATTTATACTATTAGTGAATTTGTTCTTGATACATTTTAATATAAACCAAAAAAGTATATTGTTAAGATGGATTCCAAGAATTATGATGGAACCTTCAGAGAACCTAAAAGAAACTGAAGAGTTTCTATTCAATTAGAACGTAATAGAACTTTCTAGAATATGAACGCTGTATGATACTACCGGACAGTAGTATAACATGCCTGTTTGTAGATTGACTGAATTGTAATATTGATAAAACAAACGCTAATATCTATGATTTTCTGTACATTTTGATTCATACCTAACAACCACTTCTGAATTTGTGACTGTAGGGGTTCTATACATTTAAGTGTCGTAGTTGTATATTGTATTCTGATTTAATCATGTATTAAACTCGTATATCTAATTATATTATTCATTGTAACATTGTTTATTATAAGCAAAGATGGATAGTGGCTAGCAGTGGAATCCAGGACGCGCGTTTCGTCTTGGTTGGGACTCGTCAGCTGGATGTGCCTGCATCTCAGAGTTGATGTTCACTCTGGGACTCGAACTCACTACCGTTCGCTTCAAACGCCATCGCGTTATCCATTTAGCTACTGAGTCCTGATAGCCACTTGCTTGTGCAATGGGGTGAAGTTTAATTCACTTGGTATTGTTTTACTTGAATCTTCCCATTGATGTTTTAGGACTGAAATTGATCAGTCTCTTATTGGCATATGTGCATACTGTGGATAACGCGATGGCGTTTGAAGCGAACGGTAGTGAGTTCGAGTCCCAGAGTGAACATCAACTCTGAGATGCAGGCACATCCAGCTGACGAGCCCCAAACAGGACGAAACGCGCGTCCTGGATTCCATTGCTAGCCACTATCCATCTTTGCTTATAATACTTGTAAATTAAGGCAATATCGAGGCATACGCACAGTATGCAACATATGCCAATAAGAGACTGATCGATTTCAGTCCTAAAAACATCAATGGGAAGATCCAAGTAAAACAATACCAAGTGAATTGTTTATTATGTTATAATAAGCGAAATGATATTTAGATATTATAAACAGATTTGTTTGATTGATAAATGATAATGTTATTTTTGTGAATAGTTGATATATAGTGTACTTAACGTCAAACCATTACGATAAGTTGACATATTAGGATTTGAGCAATAAAATTTGATGAATATTAAAATGGAATAAACAGACATGATATTGGTTACTACCTAGTGATCAATCTATCATAGTGGTTAGGCTTCGTTAACCAATCACCCTTGTAACCGTTATCATATAATCCTCAACGGTGTTTGAAATCAGAAGGCAAAAAGAAGCAGAGACTACAGTTTGTTAGCAGATAGATCAACTCACAAAGCAGAGAGGTGAATAAGTAAATCAGCAAATCGAGAGTGTATAGGACTAAATGTATATATATAGGGAAATGAATGGATCATCGAATCAATTAAGCAGTTAATAATAAAGCTAACAGAATGAATCTGATTAACTGAGTCTAGCATTATATGAACTCATTGTTGTACAGTAGAATAACTGTGGCTTTTGCTATTCTAGAACATTAAAGTAACCTACCTACCTGTATTATTTGAGAATCGTTTGCTTCAATAAACTGTTCTATCTCTTGTTATTTTCGCGCTTAATTTGTTTAATTCGTCATAAGAAACAACTCCTTAAATTAGAGGAAGATTTATTGTTTGTTACACCTTTTTTGCTTCCTATGTTAATATTCAAAAATAACTTGACTGACTTTACGAGGTATATCCTGGAGTTCTAGTGAGAAGTAGTGACTAGTGGAGTTCAACCAGGTCTGTTGTGAGATAGTAACTCACTGAGGACAATGGTGGATGTGTCGCTCAATTTCGTGGATTAGTTGAATTTAGACATTAACACCGCTGGATGCCGGCTCAGTGGTCTAGTGATTAAGTGCTCGCGCACGAAACCAGTAGGCCCTCGGTTCGAATCTCATAGGGGGAGAGGTCGTAGATGCGCACCACTGAGGAGTCCCATAA